TCTTCAGGTACATTAACACCTAGAGGTGATGGTTTAAGGTCACTCCCACAGTACAGCACTACTTCCCGACCTCTCCTGTCCTTTCTAAGGCGGTGAAATAACTCATAGATTTCTATGGCACAGATCTCAGGAACAATTTGCCACACCTCGGTAATTGCCACAATACCTGCACCAACTGACTTCACTGTAACACTGACCTCCTCCACCTTGTTGCATAAAGATGTGACATTGGACAGCAATAGGGATGGTAGGCTGTACCATAGTCGCGGCACTTCATAGCGAGCACACTGTTTTTCAGGCACTGACTTGACTTTCTCATGCTTGCTCGGAGTGATGATAGGGATTCGTCTGGGAATGCGGCCACCCTGTCTGCAGCCGCGGTTGTGAAAGAATCTCAGCGCCTTTAGTAGAGTGATGGTGTGGGGTGGAGGATAGCCAGCACCAGACTTCAGCCAGAACAGGTCGGTGTGACTGTATCGTGACACTGGGACGCACATATTCACAAGTCTAGCACTCACAGTCGCTGACACCTTGAAAATAAGCACTGTCTTCCCGTAAAAGTACTGAACTGCCTTAAATTAGCTACAGGTTGACGTGATGACCATGGCTGCTGCGGAGCGCCAGGGGACACGTCCTCACTCAGTGAGGTCACTGTATACATGTCATATAATATGTAGGTAACCATTAAGAAACAGAACCAAAAAGACATTCAAGTGCTTACATAATTATTCACATCTGCAGGGAGTACTGTAAGGTACAGGTGATGTAAATAATCATGAAGGTGCCTGGATCTCTCTCTAGTTCTTTTTCCTTGGAGTTACATACCGTATATACTGTATATCAAAGACTAATAGATGACTAACATAAAAAATTTCTTCACAGTAAGAATAATTCAGATGTTTCTGGTACATGTAGAACTGTTCAAAGGATCATCATATGAAACTATGATACAGTGAACAAGAGAAATCACTGTTTAAGAAAATAATATATGTAATGATTCTATCTGTATACTGTAAAATACAATACTGTACTAATATATTTAACGCTGACAAAAGAACAATATTGAACTTGTATGCTAAGATACTGTACTATTATACAGTATTATGTATAGTACCTTAATTAACTAATAAATCATTTGAAACACCATAGAAAATACATCCTGACAGTCTAAGTATTTTATTTTTTTACCCTTAACACTTTTGGTACTGAAGTAAACGAATACTTTTAAATGCACAGTAAATGCCCCAGTAATCTGGTCATTGTTAACACACAAAATAATCTTTGGGATAAATATAAAAATGCTGAAATACTTCAATTCACTGCCAAATAACTCCTATCAATCCAATGTCACATAGTCAATTTTCACTTTTTCTCCAGCAAATAGAAAATGCTATACTATACTCTACTGTATTAATCAGAGATTAGAAAGCAGTAGTAGCCTCAGTATAGATGCTGATTAAGGGAGCAGCACCATCTGTAGTAAGTGTGACTACATTAAGATAACACTTGACTGGATCATAATGAAAACATAAGGGAATCTGGAAAAAAAGGAAAGAGTAACAAATACTAGTAATGACAATATTCACTAGGTACTTTCACTTGACAAATGTTAGGAGATAAAATTATGGGATAGAGAATCTTTTCCTAGAGATCTTTACCTTATTTTTTCTAGTACTAAATGAAGGTGTCTAGGTAACATTAGGTCACAATACAATACAGTACAGTAAGCCTTCACCAACCACAGAGTTCTATCTATGTTATTTTATTTTTTATTTATTTTTTATAATTGTTGGACTAGTGTATTAATGATCTTCAATGCTACATCCATAAAGACCGTCCTTGTTGAAGCGCAGTAATCACATCATAACAACACCAACCACTATTCTGGGTATCTACAGTTTTATATTTTGTAAACTGTCTTTACCAACTCTCGGGATATATACATAGCCACCACAGGAGACAATTTACCAAATACTGTACATGTACTGCATCCCATGTCCTCTTACCCTTCTTTAATTTATTTATACTATACTGTACTATATACTGTATATATATATACGTATGTGTGTGTGTATTTTTTTCATCCTTCATATTATACACTGTATGGGTCTCTTCTTTCCTGCCAATAGTCATCCCTTAATACTCTCAGGTTTGGGAAGAGGGAGGGCAGAGTGGCAGCAGTTATACCTCTAACAGTCTGAGTTTGCAGTATCCACCTGATTCCCTCACCTGGGCTGCATACATTTACTGATAAGTTCTAACTAATAATAATACACCGTTTTTCCCTCCAAATTGAATGAAACAGATTTATCTAGTACAGCATATGTTTGAAAAGTTATGATGAATAACATATTCTATGTTTTCAAGATTTTACATATTTTCGTGCCACCAAAAATTTACATTATAATACATATAAGCATACATAAATGAATGAAAAATCAATCTTAGACAGTAATAATAATAATAAAAGGGGAGGGGGAAAAATAAACACAAAGACGAGTGCAACATCCACGACCGTTCTTGATTTGATACTGAGAATGTGACTGCAATACAGGTCCACCCCCGATTATCCGGCACCCTTGGTTCCATAGCCTTGCCGGACCAACAGAGGTCAAGTAATAATAATTCAACAATACACCTCTGACCCACTAATTATACACCTCCCGTGTCTCTAAAGCACCATGGACTGCTACAAACTTAAATTAAATATATATGAAATGTAAATTAAATGTGAAAAAAAAAAAAAAAAAAATTGAACAACATATTACTGTACACACTTTGTACTCAAATGAACCTCACTAAAGGACTAAAATTTTTATCTCTATGTGATGTTTATACTCAAATTAATTACTATCTTAAAGGGATTCCAGCAATGCTAGTTATATTCTGCAAAGTCTAGTCAGCCACATTTTATAAGATAAAAACTTTAAGCCTAAAACTACCTTCACCCAGGCTGGGAGGGAGGGAGGGAAGTTAAGTGCCCTCTCGTAATTTTGTCCGGACTAAAGGAGGTGCCGAACCATCAGTTCCCAGAAAATCGGTGGTGTACCCTGTACAGATGTATATTTATGTTGATAGGAAGTGTTTCTTTAAAGTACTGTACTGTATAACACACTAATTATTTCTAACTTTGAGTGGTATATACAGTAATAGAAGTTCAGGTAAGTTGATTTTTTTCCCCCAGGGGAATAGCCCACCCGGGCACAGGTCATCGACCCGCATCAGGGCCTAGGGCGCAAAAAAAAAAATAAAAAATAAAAAATAAAGGTTAATTAAAAATGGAAAAGGAAAAGGTTATATTATTCTACACCACGAAGATGCTGGAAAACCAGCTTTTTAAAGTGAGACAGATTGTATGAGAATGGAAACACAGAAGAAGGCAGAGCATTCCAAAGTTTGGCTGTGCGAGGAAAGAAGGATGTACTCTTAACGGGTTATTCTAGTGTGACCGACATCCACAGATAAATGGTGGGCACAGCGGGCAAGACGTGTGTTACGAGCCCACGGCCTTGCCAGCAGGTACAGAGGATGCCAAATCCACCGAACATTACCCGTTAAAGTACCTGTAAGAGAGAGTAAAGCAACATTGCACCGAAGAGTAAGGGAAGAAAGATTATCAACTAAAGGAGGAGAGTTAATAAGACGAAATGCCTTTGATTCTACCCTATCAAACAGTTGGACAGAAGAAGAGCCACCCCAGGTATGAGAGCAGCACTGCAAGTTAAGACGAATGAATCCCTTATATACGGTATTTGAAGCAACTGCTCGGGAGTGAAGTAGCTACGCATCTGTACAGCATTCCCAGCTTTTGGGAGGTAGCTTTAGCAATGTTGAGGACGTGTGGCTTCCATTACATATTAGAGGAAATGGTGAGGCCAAGCATATCTATTTTAGAATTTGGCAGAATGATTGCATCCTGAAATGTGATTGGTGTGAGATCATCTAATTTGGAAAGTGTAATTGATAAATACTGAGTTTTATTACTATTGAATTTAACTAAGTTTCTACTTCCCCATTCGGAGATGCTGCACAGATCCACATTGATAGATGTAATGATATCAGCTCTAGAAACAGATCTAGTTTAAGAGTTAGGAGAAAGGGGAAAATGTGAAGAAGAGTAGAGTAGAATCATCAGAGTAAGAATGGATAGAATTAGTTGCAGTGTGAAGAAAATCATTGATATAAAGAAGGAAGAGAGTAGGTGAAAGAACAGAACCCTGTGGGACACTACTATTGGTAAAAAAAGAGCGAGAGATTGATCCCTCGACAACAACTGCCATGGATCAGTTCTCAAGGAAGCTAGAGATTAGAGAACAAAGTGGGGGAGAGAAACCATAAGAGGGAAGTTTAGAAAGCAAAGACTTGTGCCATACCCTGTCAAATGCTTTGGAGATGTTGAGGGCCATGACGAAAGTTTCCCCATAATCCCTAAGAGAGGATGACCAAAGATGGGTGCAGTAGGAGAGCAGATCACCAGTAGATTTCGCCTGGCGAAAGCCATACTGGTGATCCGACAAAAGCGAATGGCGTTCAAGGTGATGGAGTAAATGGGAGTTCAAGGTAGTTTCAAAAATCTTAGAGAGGGATGAAGTTAGGGCAATGGGGTGATAGTTAGAGGGATTAGAATGGTCACCCTTCTTCGGGATGGGCTGAACCAAGGCATGCTTCCCATTAGGCTCTGACCTTGCTATTTGAAACTACTTTGAACTCCCATTTTCTCCAACACCTTGAATGTCATCACCTTGTGGTCATTATTTTTGTGTTTTAGTTTCAAACAATCTTATTTCTTTAAATAATGTGAAATAGATTTGTTGCCACACATTCACTGCTTCATTGCTCTGTTTACAGGTGGTCAAGTCAGAGTACAGTACAGTACTCCAAACTGTTCAAGTATATTGTAATACCTTTTCTATGCTAAGTAAAGTACTATATAGTGCTCCATACTTCATCACTATGGCAAGTGTCATTGTTGAGTACGGTTAAAGTTTAAACAATTTTACTGCAAGACTTCAGTCAAAGGAAAAGTTTATTCAGTAATACATTCAGTTATTCTGACCAAAGAAGTCACTGCTTTCCTCACGACACAGGCAACCTCAAATGCTTTTATTTCTGTGCTCGGGAAACTCTTGTTAATCATTCCACAAATTTTAATTTTTGGTATTGGCCCCCCTCCATGCCAATTATATTAGATTATTGAGATTTTACAATATGGTAACTCTCTATCAAGTTTAGACACTACAGGATCATCATGAGATGGAAATCTGATCAGGGTGACCATTTTCAAAATGAAGCCAGAGGGGTTGAGGAAAAGCTTGCTGGAACAAATGATTGAGGTCCTAGTGGCAAGTGCAATTTCATTACAATGCAACACTTTTAACACTTGAATCATAATGAATATGTACAGTAAAGTGCAGTTCAGTATATTAAATGAGGAACAGAATAAAGGATGATTGAAGAACTGTTGAAAGTTGTAAAAAAAAAAGTGTTGTTAGATGGTGAAAATAGTTAACATCTCTCAATTTCTACTGTAATATTTTTGGAGCGTTATAGTTTTCTTGACTGTTTCAATGACAGCTAATTCATTATCTGAGTTTTGAACTTCAATTTTTTGAACAATTTTTACCTTTATATCATAGATGCTGACTTGGTTGGCAAACCGTTTAACAGCTGGAAAGTAATCTCTTTCCCAATTTCCACCTGCCAACCCACAGCCAATTCTATAAGGAAACACTACTTGAGTGATTTTTTCAAAAGGGATCTTTTCTACCAACTGTTTGAGGCCTTCATTAAACCAATCAACTCTGTTTGGATATGTGTCTTCCTTAATGCCTGCCAACAGGTGTTGATCAGACTGTAAGCTTTCTTTTTGTTTAAACAAGTTAGGATCGGTACTTAAACTATACTGTAACTGATTTATAAGCCTCTTAGAAAGTAAGTTCTGATTCCTTGCCTTCCCCATATAAAACTGGCCAAAAATATTAACCACCAAAGGTCCTGATGATGCAGAATCTGGACGGCAGATCTTAATATTTCCAGGTCGTGGTCGATCTTCAAGTATGGCACAATTACGAGTGCCTATTGCACGACGACTTTTGTAGGAGTTGCAGTAAGGATATTTTGTTGCTAATATCTGAGAGAGTCCGTGAGGCTTCACAGCCACGCAGTTGAGTATCTGCGCCAATGCTATGTGGGAGTTCCTGTATGTAGAGTCAGTAATGTCCCCAGTTATGCACTCCAAGTTACCTACAAAAAAGAGAAATTGGTTGCACCACTACAGATACTGTACTCTTCATTTGATAAAAAGAAGTTCACAAGTTCCAAATATCACAGGTCTCTAAACAAAGACCGAGGGAAGAAATCACATTCTATGGCAGAGGTGAACAAATGATCTACAAGGAACAGACCCTTGCCTACCAGTGCTCACAAGTGTGTTATGGTTTCTGTAGTATGTAATTTATTCATTCAAATGTTTTCTTAATTATTAGAAATGATTACAGTACTTATTCTGAATTTGAACCAAGATTAGACAGTTGTCTTGAAGGGCCAGTGGGGTGCTAAGTAAAGAGTTGGTTTGAAACGTTGTTTCACTTGTGAAGAATTCCACCACGAATAAATGGGATTTCAAATTTCAACTCAAGCTTCCTGCCAATTTAAAACTTTTGCTCCACTAACGGAAGTAGAAAATTCTGGTCATGTTTGTCTCCTTAGCCAGTGAATTTTGTACCTCAATATTTAGTCATATGAAGATCTAAGACACCTAAATAAGCATAAAAATGGGTGAAGGAGGTCTAATGTGCAAAATAAAGTGATATTTTAAAAACTTTGACTAACATTCCCCATATCATTCATGTTAACACTATCTTTATGACTACTGTACACTGTTTATGTACATTAACAATTAATAGGATATTATAGTGTAACCTATGTGTGGTGTTTATGCAATGCGAACGAGCTGAGCGAGTGAATCACTGCGTGGTGCGTATGAGATGTGTGCATGAGTGCTGTCCTCTAGTGGCGTGATTGATATGTGAATGAGTGCTGTCACCTAGCGGTGTGAATGAAGTTGGATGTCTGAGTAGTTATAAGACATAGCACGAGGTTTCGTGATCATATGTGTTACCCTGTGAGACAGATTGTTTCTTGCTGCACCACTGTACAGACCTCTCCCAGTAAATTGCATCTGTGAAGACTGTCTCATTGAACCGTCAGGAACCAAGTAGAACTTGAACAACTTTCAGTGCACAGTATAAAGTATCTTTTCATCTCTTCCACCACCGCTGCCACTTGCTACAGCTACATCTACATACAGAAACAAATACTGTATACAGTAATGTACTTGCTATTGCATTACCATGCCACGAAGGTGCTCAAGGTCACCGAGTAAACCCTCTCCCATCTGCGTCCCTCTCCTCAACTATACTCCTCTTGAGATATACAGTACCACCAAATTGCCAACAGGAAAACACAAATAATGCAAAATGACAATTTCAATTTGAAAAGGAACAAATATGGTGCCAAAACAGTCAAGTGGTCCGTGGAAACACTCTGCCTAATAATCATAGTCAATGTTTACCTTTCCCACTCCAGAGAGAAGTACTACAACCACATGTTATCATCCACAACACCACTCCAGAGAAAAGTACAACAACCACATGTTATCATCCACACCACTCCAGAGAGAAGTACTAAAACCACATGTTATCATCCACAACACAACTAGAGAGAAGTACTACAACCACATGTTATCATCCACAACACCACTCCAGAGAAAAGTACTACAACCACATGTTATCATCCACAACACAACTAGAGAGAAGTACTACAATCACATGTTATCATCCACAACACAACTAGAGAGAAGTACTACAACCACATGTTATCATCCACAACACAACTAGAGAGAAGTACTACAACCACATGTTATCATCCACAACACAACTAGAGAGAAGTACTACAACCACATGTTATCATCCACAACACAACTAGAGAGAAGTACTACAACCACATGTTATCATCCACAACACAACTAGAGAGAAGTACTACAACCACATGTTATCATCCACAACACAACTAGAGAGAAGTACTACAACCACATGTTATCATCCACAACACAACTAGAGAGAAGTACTACAACCACATGTTATCATCCACAACACCACTAGAGGGAGGTGCTACAACCACATGTTATCATCCACAACACCACTAGAGAGAAGTACTACAACCACATGTTATCATCCACAACACCACTAGAGGGAGGTACTACAACCACATGTTATCATCCACAACACCACTAGAGGGAGGTACTACAACCACATGTTATCATCCACAACACCACTAGAGGGAGGTGACATGTACTACAACCACATGTTATCATCCACAACACCACTAGAGGGAGGTACTACAACCACATGTTATCATCCACAACACCACTAGAGGGAGGTACTACAACCACATGTTATCATCCACAACACAACTAGAGGGAAGTACTACAACCACATGTTATCATCCACAACACCACTAGAGGGAGGTGCTACAACCACATGTTATCATCCACAACACCACTAGAGGGAGGTACTACAACCACATGTTATCATCCACAACACCACTAGAGGGAGGTGCTACAACCACATGTTATCATCCACAACACCACTAGAGGGAGGTACTACAACTTACATGTTATCATCCACAACACAACTAGAGGGAGGTACTACAAACTACATGTTATCATCCACAACACAAATTCAGAGGGAGGTGCTAAGCAACCACATGTGTTATCATCCACAACACCACTAGGAGGGAGTACCACAACCACATGCTTATCATCCACAACACAACAACTAGAGGGAGGTACTACAACCACATGTTATCATCCACAACACAACTAGGAGTGGGAGGTGCTGCCAAACTACATGTTATCATCCACAACACAACTAGAGGGAGGTACTACAACCACATGTTATCATCCACAACACAACTAGAGGGGAGTACTACAACCACATGTTATCATCCACAACACCACTAGAGGGAGGTGCTACAACCACATGTTATCATCCACAACACCACTAGAGGGAGGTGCTACAACCACATGTTATCATCCACAACACCACTAGAGGGAGGTGCTACAACCACATGTTATCATCCACAACACCACTAGAGGGAGGTGCTACAACCACATGTTATCATCCACAACACCACTAGAGGGAGGTGCTACAACCACATGTTATCATCCACAACACCACTAGAGGGAGGTGCTACAACCACATGTTATCATCCACAACACCACTAGAGGGAGGTGCTACAACCACATGTTATCATCCACAACACCACTAGAGGGAGGTGCTACAACCACATGTTATCACCCACAACACCACTAGAGGGAGGTGCTACAACCACATGTTATCATCCACAACACAACTAGAGGGAGGTACTACAACCACATGTTATCATCCACAACACCACTAGAGAGAAGTACTACAACCACATGTTATCATCCACACCACCACTAGAGGGAGGTACTACAACCACATGTTATCATCCACAACACAACTAGAGAGAAGTACTACAACCACATGTTATCATCCACAACACCACTAGAGGGAGGTGCTACAACCACATGTTATCATCCACAACACAACTAGAGGGAGGTACTACAACCACATGTTATCATCCACAACACCACTAGAGGGAGGTGCTACAACCACATGTTATCATCCACAACACCACTAGAGGGAGGTACTACAACCACATGTTATCATCCACAACACCACTAGAGAGAAGTACTACAACCACATGTTATCATCCACAACACCACTAGAGGGAGGTACTACAACCACATGTTATCATCCACAACACCACTAGAGGGAGGTGCTACAACCACATGTTATCATCAACAACACAACTAGAGGGAGGTGCTACAACCACATGTTATCATCCACAACACCACTAGAGGGAGGTGCTACAACCACATGTTATCATCCACAACACCACTAGAGGGAGAAGTGCCATAACCACACAGTTATCATCCACAACACCACTAGAGGGAGGTGCTACAACCACATGTTATCATCCAACACCACTAGAGGGGAGGTGCCATAACCACATGTTATCATCCACAACACCACTAGAGGGAGTGTGCTAAGCAACCACATGTTATTATCAACAACACCACTAGAGGGAGGTACTACAAACCACATGTTATCATCTACAACACCACTAGAGGGAGGTGCTACAACCACATGTTATCATCCACAAATACCCACTAGATGGATATTACAACCGATATGTTATCATCCACAACACCACTAGAGGGAGGTGCTACAACCACATGTTATCATCCACAACACCACTAGAGGGAGGTACTACAACCACATGTTATCATTCACAACACCACTATAGGGAGGTGCTACAACCACATGTTATCATCCACAACACAACTAGAGGGAGGTGCTACAACCACATGTTATCATCAACAACACCACTAGAGGGAGGTACTACAACCACATGTTATCATCCACAACACCACTATAGGGAGGTACTACAACCACATGTTATCATCCACAACACCACTAGAGGGAGGTGCTACAACCACATGTTATCATCCACAACACAACCAGAGGGAGGGTACTACAACCACATGTTATCATCCACAACAATTACTCAGAGGGAGGTGCTACAACCACATGTTATCATCAACAACAATTCACTAGAGGAGGTACGCAACCACATGTTATCATCCACAACACCACTAGAGGAGTAAAAGCATAACCACATGTTATCATCCACAACACTACTCAGAGGGAGGTACTACTAAACTACATGTTATCATCCACAACACCACTAGAGGGAGGTGCTACAACCACATGTTATCATCCACAACACAACTAGAGGGAGGTACTACAAACCACATGTTATCATCCACAACACCACTAGAGGGAGGTGCTACAACCACATGTTATCATCACAACACCACTAGAGGGAGGTGCTACAACCACATGTTATCATCCACAACACCACTAGAGGGAGGTACCACAACCACATGTTATCATCCACAACACCACTAGAGGGAGGTGCTACAACCACATGTTATCATCCACAACACCACTAGAGGGAGGTGCTACAACCACATGTTATCATCCACAACACAACTAGAGGGAGGTGCTACAACCACATGTTATCATCCACAACACCACTATAGGGAGGTACTACAACCACATGTTATCATCCACAACACAACTAGAGGGAGG